TAAGCTGCACAGCCACAATAGCCACCTTCTTGGCAGCCTAAAGTAAATTACACGCTACTCGTACTGTAAGTGCGGGGTTGGTTCTGCACCAACCGCATTGGGAAGCTGCTGCGATCCCAGGTACCAACCGGGGTGGCAAGAAAAAACACGACAAACAGCGAGAAATCAATTTCTGGAATTATCGTCACAAAGAACTGGAAATCCACCCGCCAATGGCCGCAACAGTCTCTGCAGGCCATCACGCGTCCCCCCGCGTCGGTTTGGTACCTGCAGAGCCGCTGTTGCGGCCCTGGCTGGCGTAGACAGCAAAATTTGCGAGCAAGCTACTTAACATGACATGCCCACCAAATACAGCGGCAGCCATCTAGCCACAACACAGCAACGCAAGACGCGACGACGGAGCCCAGACACCCTATTCAGCATCATGGTTACATCACGCACACACAAAGTTATCGATGGGCTTCCTGGCTAGCCCATCACCATCCGACAATGTCTGCAACGTCCCGCATCGACGAGCCCTCGAGCTGAACGGCATCATCTCTCATGCGAACTACCTCACAGACACCTGGTATGCTACTATCGGTGCCACTATACACTTACAGATCACCAGACAGCCTCGTCCACTGTCGCCCCACGTGTTGAAGGACTGGTCCCCCTTCGACATACCTGACAAGGTCTGAGGAGGTTCGCATGAGAGCTCTCATGCTTAATAGGCTTGACGACACGTACGAGCGGAGCATCGCTCCTGTGAAACTGCGTTGTGACGAAATGTTGCTGCCGCTGTGCCCGGTGGCAGGTCACACCACAAGATACGGCCACATAGGAACCTAGTGGACGGCATCACAACACTGGAAGAACATCAGAGATTAGGGAACATACTTTGAGCCCTAGGGGTATTAGGGCAAGCTAGCACACACGATAGCTGAACGCTAGGGGGAGACTGAAGGTACCACAGACGCAAAGCATGAGGCAACTGTGCCTCTACGAGCCTTAAACAACGCTACACACACGAGGCTTTGAGCACGGCATACACATAGAAACACAGTTTGCAGAACACACACATAGGCAAAAGACGTCACTTCTAGAGACGAAATGTACATAGTCGTAGATAGAAGCCAGACAACGGCAGGCCTCTGGGGACAGATGGCTCTTTCGAGAGTGAAGTGGGGCGGTTGTGGACTCACGTCCGCATCGCGTCGGCTGTCTGCCATGCCAGTCATCCGGGCATAGCTGTGGAGATCACGGCTGAAACCGAGTAGGACAAAATCAATCAATCAATCAATCAATCAGGCATGAACAAGCGCGCGACAACCGCCACGAAGCTGGTGGTGACTTCCAGTGCCTATAGTGATATTCAGAGGTCTAGATGAGTCAGTTTATCACCTTAATAGGGTCTTAGGGGTGAAGCGCCATGCTGGATAGCATGGGCTTAGATCTAGGCACAATCGAAGGCTTGACTGCGCACGGCATGCAGGCGTCAACGACGGCGTATTTTTTGTATCTTGAGGTACAGAAGCAGGCTGAAGTAGGCCAAGGAACTATTGACAGAAGACTGTAGATTATTGACACGTTC